AGACCGGCTTAGCCAAAATGGCTGGGTTATACAGGCGTCTGAGACGCTGGGGGAAGGGAAGGGAAGCACAGGGGAACGCGTCCACTTTGATATGGGAAATAGGCACCTCAGTTAGTCATTTGTCCTGAGTTAGAGACCTAACCTCTGGGTCACCCCGGGCTACACAGTGAGACCCTGTCTGAAAAAACACAAAGCAAAAGAAAACAGCATCGATATATCACAGGTTATTCAGTTGTTCATCTATTGGAGAACATCTGGTTTATTTCAAAATCTGGGCCATCATGAACAAAGTGCCTATAAATATTCATTACAATTTTTCATTAACATAACTTTTCATTTCTCTGGGGTAAAACCCCAGTAGTGTGAAACCGCTTCGCTCACATGGCATTTGCATATGGCAGACTGTTTTCCCGGGGTGGCTGCTCTCTGTGTGAGCGCCTCGGTTCCTCGATAGCATTTGGTATGGGCACAATTTTGCAGGAGTCGTTTTGAAAGGTGTGTAGGTAACGCCTTTCTTTGGTTTTAATGTGCATTGCACAGATACATAATGATGTTGGATGTATTATGCGGAGTTAATTGCCACTCACTTATTCTCTTTGGCTAAATGTCGCGTTATTGGTTTTTCTTTTCCCCCCGTTATTATTTTTTTACATTAGTTTTTAATTATGTGTATGTAGGAGAAGGGGTGTGTACATGGGAGTGTAGGAACCCAGGAGGACTGAGGTTTCAGGTCCCATAGAGATCTGGAAATGGAGTTACAGGAGGTTATATTGAGAACCAAACTTGGGTCCTCTGGAAGAACAGTAAGCTTTTCTAACCACTGAACCTTCTCTCCAGCCCCCTTTCTTCTTTTATTTTAACGTGTGTGTGTGTGTGTGTGTGTGTATGTGTGTGTGCATGTGTGTGCATTTGTGTGTGCGTGCATGTGCGTGCATGTGTGTGTGCATGCATGTATGTGTATGTGTGTGCATGTGTGTGAATGTGTGTGCATTTGTGTGTGTGCGTGCATGTGTGTGCATGTGTGTGTATGTGTGCGTGCATGTGTGTGCATTTGTGTGTGTGCGTGCATGTGTGTGCATTTGTGTGTGTGTATGCGTGTGTGCATTTGTGTGTGTGCGTGCATGTGTGTGTATGTGCGAGTGTGTGTGCATGTGTGTGCATTTGTGTGTGTGTGCATGTGCGTGCATGTGTGTGTGCATGCATGTGTGTGTATGTGTGTGTGCATGTGTGTGCATTTGTGTGATTGCCAGTCTAGCAACCTTGATGATCTTGCTTATTATTTGTAGATCTGTTCATTTGTGGTTTTGTTTTTGGTAGATTCCTCAAGGCTGTTATGGAGACAGTCACTTCATATACAATAGGGGTAGCTTTATCTCTTCCTTTGCAGTCTGCGTGCCTTTGCTTTCCGCACTGCCTGGAGCATCCACCGTTTGCTGAGTGAGATAAGTAAATGCTGGCACCCTGGTCTTACTGGTTTGTTTTGTTTTTTGCAATGTGGATTTTTTTGTTTTGTTGTTAAGGGTCTTGAGTAGCCCAGGCTGGCTCCAAACTCACTGTGTAGCTGAGGATGACCTTATGCTCCTCCTGATCATCCTGCCTCAGCTTGTCAAATGCTAGGATTCAGATATGCAGCACAATAAGGGCTTCACATGAATTTTAATTCATAGATGAATGTGAACCTGAACCTGTGCTTTTTATTCTTGATTTACTACATTAATTTCTTTTTTTAATGCAGGAGTCTCATGCTATTGCCCAAGTGGGCCCCAGACTTCTGGATGTAAGCAATCCTCGGCCCCGGGTCCACATCTATGGGCATACGCCACCTCACCCAACTTCTGGTTGATTTTTTTAAAAAAAATTGGAACCAACCTTGATTTCCTGGTATAAACAGTGAAGCCTCATCAAGCCATGGCTGAGTGTTGCTACAATTTACAGTTATCTTATACAGCGATTTCATAGTTATCTTATATAGTTATCTAATAGGGTTATCTCATATAGTTATCTTATATAGTTATTTCAGAGTTATCTTAGTCATCTTACATAGTTATCTTACGTAGCGATCTCATAGAATTATCTTATAATTATCTCATATAGTTATACAGTTATCTCATAGTTATCTTTTGGAGTTATCTCAGAATCAATCACCTTATATAGTTACCTCATACGGTTATCTCATAGGGTTAGATTATATAGTCATAGAGTTACCTCAGATAGTTATCAACACTCACCCTCCGACTCCGAGGCTGCCTGCTGTGCCACTGGATCACATCTTCTATCTCTGGGGGACTTTCTGGTCCTTGTGCTCTTCTGGATGTGGCCTCTGTGTTGTCCCATGCTCTGGCTAACTGTGTCATCGCCTTCGAGTCCCCAGCAGGTCTCAGGACAGTATTAACTTCATGACACAGACTAAGAAATGTTCTGTTTTCTAGAAAGGATCCTGTGGGCAGGTGACAGTCTTAATTTGGACAGTGTTTTTCATTAAAATTCAATTATCTTAGTTATAAAAATTACTCTATTTATTTCATACTAGGTGTGCCAGGGCTTTTGCTTTTTGGTTTTGGTTTTGTCAATGTGATATAAGTTAGGGTTATCTGGGGAGATGGAACCTCGTTTGACAAAGTGTCTCCACCTACCTGACTGGAATTTTCTCAGCTGGTGATTGACATGGGAGGTCCCAGCCCACTGTGGGCGGTGCCACCCTTGGGCAAGCCAATCAGCAGCACTCTAAGGGCTCTGTTTGAGTTCCTGCCTTGGCTTCCCTCAGTGATGGATTGTGATGGCGATGTGTAAGCCAAATAAACCTCTTCCTCCTCAAGTTGCTTTTGGTCATGGTAATAGACCAAAAAAAATACCTCAGTAATAGCAATCAAAGCAGGGCCAGGAGGTGGTGGCCAGCACCTTTAATCCCAGCACTCAGGAAGCAGAGGCAGTTGGATCTCTGTGAGTTCGAGGCCAGCCTGGTCTACAAAAGCGAGTTCCAGGACAGC